AGATAGCCCTTGTGTAGCTTTGTGCATAATCAAAAAACAAACAATACTTAAAATCTTAATGGTTACAAGAGTGGCTAACTTTTGGAAAGGAAATTGTGTATATCTAACCACACAGTGTAGTTAATGAAAATATAAAGTATTAAGTAATAATAAATTAATTTTTAATTAATTGTGATATAGCTACTGGGGAGGGAAGTATATTCATCCAACAACCAGCTAGGTGGCATCCAGATCATGCACAACAACGGAGTAGCACATACCACATCACCTGATGACATTCAGGGTGTTTACATCATGCTGAAATGGCTTTCATACATTCCAAAGGTAAGAGATTTGGTAATGAAATGTGTAAAAAAGCATTCTTTGGTAGTTATCAAACACATTGCTTCTAAAATAAATAGTTTAAATATATTCCTAACATGGAATCATGTTTTCATGTTACAGACACAACCAGTATTTCAAATGAAATATGAAATAAAGATTGTTATATAAAAGTATTTTTTGAATAAAACGTTTAAAATGTTATGCAGAATATGATTTAAAGTTATATAAATAAATCAGTGTATATTGTAGAGTATCAAAAATAAATTTTCTATAATGTATATTAACTGTAAAATAACATTTATCAATTTTTTAAATTGTATTTTGATACAAGATATTGAAATATATTAACTTGTATGATTATAAAATTCTATAGAGAACTTAACCACACAAATTGGATTGAAAGCTTATTATAATCGAGGGGAATAGGCTACTTGAATATGAGTGTATTTAGACTAGTAGTCAGTATATGTAGAATGTTGTATGGTAGCCATATATTTAAATAAATACATTATCAATTAAAATATCATAAATTCTATTTTTTAAAAGTTTTAAAAGTTTTTTTTATTATTAAATAAATTTTTTTTCAGGTAGATGTGTGCATGACTGAATTTTAGCATAGAAATTTTCAAAGGTGTGAAAGTTGTTGAATTGTATTAGTGTAAAGGTATACAAACATGACAAAAAATTATTGCATATATAAATACTACTTTGGCAGGCTTTTTATCTTTTGAGAAGTTTCTCGGATGTTTAAAACAGTTTTTCTATTTTGATCAAGATTTTCTCGTACATTTTTCTCTTCTTGCAAAAATTCCTGTTGTACTTAAACTTTTACATCTACTTTTATAAAATTGTGTAAAATCATTTTTAATAACTTTTGGTTTATATTTAAAAGTTGAGAGAGACACATAAAGATATTCAAAACCAAACTTCCAAAAAAATGGGCTATATCTGTCTGTGTTTATTCTATGAACCTTCCAATTAAAAGTAGCTCTTACATTTGATATAATGTAAAAATGTTTCATTTATGACATTCCATTTTTTTAGATTTAGGCAAGCTTATTGACCAGTAAAGTTCATAGTTCTCCTTATAACAGATGTAAAAGCTTAATTTTTGAAGTTTGTTTGGAACAAGTTATTTACACTGAAAGTGGAAGTTTTAGTTTCTTAATAAATCTTTGAAAAAAAGGTTTTTTATTTCTGTTTTGATTTTTGCATAATATACTTAGCATTTTGGAATATGTCTTCTGATGTGAAAATTACTTTTCTGCTTGAAGATCAGTTGAATCTTAATAAAATAATTATCTGTATTCATTCTAGCAATGAATGAACACTGATATTATTTTATTAAAATTCAATTGATTTTCAAATCAGAAGACACATTCAAAAATACTAAGTATATTATGCAAAAAGTAAAACCGAAACTAAAACTTCTAGTTTATGATATTTTAATTTACTGTCATATTGTTATTATGCTCTTTGGTATAACTTCAACAAATCTTGGAGTTAATTTAAACATGAATGCTGCAATGCAGAAAACTGTGCCATAATAACCTTATTGTACTCTTCAAAACATGGTTTTATATATATATATATATATATATATATATATATATATATTATATGTTATTTACTTTACTAGTTAGTGT